AGCATAGCTGATGGACGGGGTGGGCGTAGCCACTGCAAATTAAATTCTTAATTTTAGCTATAATATCTTCTAGCTTGTCTGGACACAAAACTTTTTTTGAAACTTTTCTCTAGCTCTTATGGTCTCTGAGTACTAGGCGCTCATAAGGACGGACAGACAGACCTGTATATCGGCTATTGATACTGATCAAGAATATACATACATTTATATGTACTTTATGTGGTCGGAAACGTTTCCTTCTGTGCGTTACATATGTACATCCACTTTTGTGCACGTATACAATTTACTCTTCGCGTACCGGGTATAACAATAATGTACTTCTTCGAATTTAACTGCCGTTGGTTTGGCCTTATCTGTTTTTCTTTTCGTGTTTTTTCTTCCTCGGATTTTGCATTTGATTTTGGTGTTTATTGTGATTCCTCTCTTAATTCCGATTTTTCTGTTTTTCTCCTTCTGATTCTTCTGTTTTTCATACGGGTTTGCTTATTTTAATTGTTCCTTTTAAATTTTTTGGGTTTTCTTCTTTTTTATTCTCTTCTCTCCTGTCTCCGCTTTTTCTTCAGAAGTTGTTTATTCTTCTTCCTAATCTGGATTCGTTTCTTACGCTTCTGTTTCTTTTCCTGTATCTTTTGCTTTCTCAGCTGTTTCTTCTCTTTAATTGCTTTCTTCTTTTGTTCCTTCTTCTGTTTTCTATTTTTCTTTTGCATTCTTCTTTCACCTTTATTTTGCAAAATTGTATTCTTCTTTCGGCTTTTCGTCTTTTAATATTTTCATTTTTGATGTTCTTTTGAATTTTGGTTCTTCCCAAATGATCCCATTTAAATTTGGACTTTTCTGTTGTTGCTGCTGATTTTTCGGAAGAATTTTTTTTTCCGTTCTTGCCTTTTCCGATTTTTCTTGTACTGATATGGATTTTCCTTATGTTTTCTCTCCCCCCGCCAAATTATCTTTTTTAAATTTTCCCTCATCCTTTGTACTTTTTCCCGATTTTTCTTTTATGGATTTTTTTTCTCTGTTGGTTCTTTTTTCGGGTTGTCTCCTTCTTCGTCTGATTTTGGTTTCTCCGTTGGTTTTTCTCCCAGTCTGCTGTCTTCTTCTTCCGAGATTAGTTGCTCTTTAGTTTTTCGTTCGGGTCTGCCTCCTCCTTCTACTGACTTCTGTTTTTTAGTCGGTTCTTCATTCGATGTGTGTTCTACTGATTTAGATTTCTCAGTTTGTTTTTCCTTATGCATGTCCGCTTCTTTTTCTGATTTGGGTTTCTCTGGCTGTGTTTCTTCCTGTTTTTCGAATTCAATTCTGAATTTAGTTTCTCTGTTGGTTCTTCCTTCTCTGTATCTTTTTATACCCGGTACTCGAAGAGTAATTAGGGTATATTGTTTTTGTGCGAATAACGGTTGTATGTAACGCACAGAAGGAAGCGTTTCCGACCCCATAAAGTAGAAATATATATTCTAGATCAGCATCAATGGCAGAGTCGATATAGCCATGTCTGTCTGTCCGTCTTGTTTGTCGGTTAGTTCTCAGAGACTATAATAGCTAGAGCCACCAAATTTTGCAAAAATGAGCCACGCCCCCTTCCGCCCCCGCAAAAAGGCCGCAAAAAGCCTACCAAATCTACAATTTTGAAGATAAAAGAAAACTTAAAACGCCATTCCGCAGGGAATGGCCATATCTATCAGAACTCCAAATTGGGATCCGATCGGACCATTATTATAGCCAGAATAAAGAAATTAATTTGCTGATGCTAAGCCCACCCTGCTCAGCAGCTTTTGTTGTTCCTTTCACATTCTCTCATTCACACTCTGCTTCTGCTTCACTCGGCCCCTGCCTCTGCCCTCTCTCTGCCCATGCCTCTACCGACTTTTAACCCACCCCGTCCCAAGGCTTATATTTGTTTTTTTTTTTTTTGTGTGCGGTCGCTGCCTCTGCCTCTGCCGCGAGTCAGCAGTATGATGGTATAGGGAAGGGCGGCCTAACGGAGCGTGTTGGTGTGAGAAGTGTTGTAGATGTAGATGACAGATGAAGAAAAAATTTAAAATTTAACAAAACACCGCTGAGGTGCAGATGCGCTATTGTCCCAATGACCAGTTTTGGTGGCCAAAAGCTAAGTCGCGTTATATGTTGTTTCTAATCCTTTTTCTGTGGTGAATTTCTCTGTTGTTGATTTTGTTGTTGTTTTATTATCTGTAGTTGATCTTTCTGTTGTTTCTTTTTCCGTGGTGGAATTTGCTGCGGTTGATTTTTCGTCTTTTTCGTTTTCCGTTGATTTTTCATTCGGTTCTGATGCCTTCTTCCTTTTCTTTTATCGCAATGGTTTCGCACCGTGGTTCTTTCTTAACCTTATCACACTCACCGTCCACAATGTCCGGCGCTTTATAAGCTAAGAGTATGTATGCAAATAATTAGCATAAAATGAAAAATTACAGATAATTTACTCACGGGGTAAGTTCGCCTTCATTCTCAAACATTTAACAAGATCGTATGTACAATTTGATGGTATTGTAAACCAGAATTTTCGTTTGTGATCTAATGCGCAGAAGGGATGTACGAAATCCCTTCGATTGGGACACACTTCAAGACATTTATTTCTACTTCTATGTCGTCCATCAATGGTAGTCCGAACTTTAGAAAAATATAGCGAACGTTAAGATACTGCCTCATGAAATATACTTCCATCTGGCGAGTTTACCTATAAGACCTCACCTGCAACCTCATGGTTAAAGGATCAACTACATGCAGCAAAGACAACAGTATAACTAAAGTGTAGACGAGGTCTTACTGCTCCGCACAATTTGTGTCGGATTTGATATGCCTATCCGTGAAGTTATTGAAAGTAATTTGATATATGTATGTACATATGTACATACATATGTATGCATGTGGACTGGGTTTTGACAATTGCGATACCTAGACAAAACACGAAAACGAGCAAGTGAGAATTCACGTCACTGCGAATTCCAAACGCTAGAGCAAACGCAAAGTGAAAACGAAAGAGAGCGAATTGAGAGCGAGAGCGGACAACCGATCAGCGAGAGAGCGCCGAGGGAGTTTCCAGACGACATTATGCCATTTCAAATCACTTATTAACCTCTGCCTCTCAGCTCTTAAACCGGGGAAACGGGCCCACGTTTCTCATCAAGAACCGCAATCAGTTCGTAGACCTTACACTTGCTCCCCATAGTATACAGGATAACGTTGTATCCTCCTTCTCGGACCACAGGTACGTGAAAACTGTTTTCTCCTTCTAGGCACCGAGCCCAGTGCATTTCCGAACCTTAGGAGAAACAACTGGAGCCGATATGTAGAGCAGCTAGACCGTCTGCTCCCTGAGTACCCCCCATAGGGGTATGTCTCAAGGACAGCCACGACCAACATGGTCAAAGCCTTGACCTTGACCCTGGTAGAGCCAGAGGGCGGAAGAAGCCTGAGTGGTAGAACGAAGCATCCGAACTTTGGAGAGCTTCGAAAAACATCACGAAGACTCTTCAACAAAGCGAAGTGTCTAAACGTTGAGCAGAACTGGTCAGATTACAGGATCAGCCTCTCAAATTATAACAAAGAACTTAGTAAAGCCAAATCGAGAGTAACTACGAAGCTTCACGCCTGCTTAAGGTACTCTCTAATACAGCCCCAACTTTGGGCTGATATGTTATTGACAACGTCCAGCGACGAATCGCTAAATCTTCTCTTCAGAACACATATCCCAGGCTGCACTGAACCCAGGCTGCAACCTCTAGTTGCCCAGGATCATTCTAAGCCTTTTAAACCACGAGAATATATCCTGGGCGATTAAAAGCTTCAAGGCCTACAAGTCCACAGGACCAGATGGCATAATTCCAGCACAGTTAATCCACGCTGGGGTAAGAGCCATAAACTGGCTCAAGCCTATAACATCCTTATTCTCCCTTCTGAAGACGATGGAGCGACTCTTAGGCCTACACCTCACTGCGAAAATCCCGCCAAATCGAATCTCTGATTCTCAGCATGCCTATCGGAGGGGAAGATCCACCGAAACGGCCCTGCAGACGATCAAATCGATCATAAAATCGGCCCTTCAGCACAAGGAATTCACCCTGACAGCCTTTATTGTTGTCCCGTCTGCCAAAACGGATGCACTGACGGACCTGCGGATTGACTAAACAGCAGACATTGCTTTAAATTTCCGGACCACTGTAACGTGTTCCAAGCGGAGGTCCTGGCCATACAAGAGGCCATCTCTATGATCTCCCATAGGTGTTTCTGGGGTTTGGTGTTAATCTCCCCCCATCTACCGCCCTAACCTAATCTAACCTGATCAGCATCAATAGCAAAGTCGATATAGCCATTTCTGTCTGTCAGTCCGTCTTGTTGAGCTCCTGGATCTCAGAGACTATAAAAACTAAAGCCCCACAATTTTGCATCCAGATGGCTGTATGCCCACACTGTTACAAGTGTATTTCAACATTTCGCCCCGTAAAAAGCGAAAATCTGACGCGTCCACAATTTTAATGATAAAAGAAAACTAAAAAAATGCCATTAAGTAGAGAATGACCATATCTTTCAGATCATCGAATTGAGATAAGATAGGATCATTATTACAGCCATAATGAAGAGGGGATTTTTTTTAAATATAACTTTTTTATTTAGCTTTTTTAATATATTTTAGTAATAATAATTATATAAGCATATATTTAAAATTAGTATTTGTTTCACAAATTTATATTGTCTTATTGTGTTGAATTATTTTCTTTCTTCAATGATTTTAAAAACATCTAATCAAATAAGAAGTGTTTATATATTGTTAAGATGGATAGACAGCTCTGAGTTCGATTTTACTCGGCCAACTTCGTTGGCTACTCTTGGTTGAATGTAGTTGTGGCAGAGTAAAGTTGAAAATTCTTCGGGAAAGTTCTGTTCAAACAATATCAGCTAATCCACCATCAACACATTTGCGATTGTCTGGCAAAGTGTTCAGCGTTCAATGCTCCCGTTCTCTCTCTCTAAATTCAGCAAACAACTGTGTGTCCATTTTGTAAGGACATTGCCATTCAATGCTAAACCTATACAAGTTCTCTACGGTTTTGATTCTGCTCTGTTCTTCTGAGTACTGGTTCTAGTACTCGTTTTCATTCTGTTGTGGCTTAATGGATTTGCAGTTTGCAGTTATTTAACAATTCCATGTTGCATTCGCGTTTTTAAACCCGGTACTCAAAGAGTAAATGGGTTATATTGTATTTGTGTGAATAACGGTTGTATGTAACGCACAGAAGGAAGCGTTTCCAACCCCATAAAGTATATATAACTCTCTGTGCGTCTGTCCGTCTTGTTTGTCGGCTAGTTCTCAGAGACTATAAAAGCTAGAGCCACCAAATGTTGGCTCCAGACTGCTGTATGCTCACACTGAAACCAAAGTATTTCAAAAATGAGCCACGCCCCCTTCCGCCCCGCAAAAGGGCGAAAACCTCCCAAATCTACAGTTTTAAAGATAAAAGAAAACTAAAAACGCCATTCCGTAGAGAATGGCCATATCTATCAGATCACCAAATTGGGATCAGACTGGATCATTATTATAGCCACAATGAAGAAATTAATTTCCAGTGGCAAAAACCCACCCTGTCCAGCAGCTTTTGATGTTCCTTTCACATTCTCTCATTCACACTCTGCTTCTGATTCACTCGGCCCCTGCCTCTGCCGTCCCTCTGCCCCTGCCTCTACCGACTTTTAACCCACCCTGTCCCGCAGCTTATATTTGTTTTTTTGTTGTGTGCGGTCGCTTCCTCTGCCTCTGCCTCTGCCGCGAGTCTGCAGTACGTGGGTCTAGGGAAGGGCGTCGAGCTAACGGAGCGTGTTGGTGTGAGAAGTGTTGTAGATGTAGATGACCGATGAAGAAAAAATTTAAAATTTAACAAAGCACCGCTGAGGTGTAGATGCACTGTTGTCCCAATGACCAGTTTTGTTGCCAAAAGGTAATTTTTAAAAGTTAAAACCAAGACTCGGGTTTTAACGCTCTGTATTAGAAAAAGTCCAAAAAGACCATCAAAATTGCGTACAAGAAATTATAAATAAAATTAAATATCACATAAATTGGAAAATACGATTAACTGATCCAATTTGTTTTGATGCATTTTATTTAGTAGGCTTTTTACTACGTGTTCTGTAATGTGAACGATATCTAGTGGTTGGCGATGTCTTCTACATCTAGATGTAGTCCTGAGTGCCGGGTATAAAATTTGTGACGCGTAAGAAGCGTCTCACACGTCCCTTCTCGTTTGAGATTCCCTTTTCGTGTTGGAATATAATTTCCTCAACATTTTTTTCTCATCCCTTTTTACTTTTCTCACATTTTCTTGGCTGCATTTTGGTAATTACTGGCAATTGTTGGTGTTGGCTGTGGCAACAGCAACAACGATTGCAGGGCAAAACTTCCCCAATGGAGTTATAAAATGTGGTGCACTGTATGAGTAAAGTAAACTATTTAAATATCCCCCGGACAAATTGCTAACCTGCGCCCCTAACACAGTTATCAATCGAAGATAAAATCAATGGTAAATTTTACATCTTTTTTTCCGATGAGTGGGGAAAATCTGGGCCATAAACTCAGCTCGTACCCAAACACGTATCTAATTTCATTTTCACTACATGTGAAGCACGGGGCGGACATTGAACATAAAAAACTAATTCAAAGTGCTAAGTATAAATTATATCCTATGTGGAGGAGTCCTACAGAACAGAGCAGGGCGAAAAAGGACCAAAGGGTATAGGGGACAGGAACCTGCGAAATGATGCTCAATTGCACAAAGCAATCAGTCCAAAAAGGAGAAAAAAATGTTGTTGTCATTTTTATGGCCCCAAAAGACACATCAATTCCGAAGGGCATTCCACAAACATAGGACACCTAAAGAGGGGGAGAGGTGTTGCTTAGCAGAAGGAAACTTATTTAAAGATGTAAGCGCAATAAAATAAAATAATAAAATTCCAACCCCGAAACCCTCGCCATTCGTTCGTTTGTTTGTTTTGTTCTTCTCAGGGCAGTGGATGGAAAGATTCTCCAATTTCCAACTATAGACTGTTCAAGTCCCATGTTATCTAAAGTGTTAAATCACCTGTAGACGTCAGCTTGAAGTTTTCGCACATAAATCTTCAAGTGCTAGCCCCAATTCCATAAGTCGTCGTCTCTTTCCAATAAAGCTTGTGAGACGCTTTGTACGCGTCTCAACTATTATACCCGGTACTCAGTCTGTTTAGATGTACATACATATTCATTATACCCGGTACTCGAAGAGTAAATAGGCTATATTTTAATTATGGTGAAAAAATGAAACACATGAAAGGAAGCCTTTTCGACCCCCCATATATATTCTTGTGCCGAGTCGATATAGCCATGTCCGTCTGCTCGTCCGTCTGTCCGTCTTGTTTGTCGGCTAGTTCTCGGAGACTATAAAAGCTAGAGCCACTTAATTTTTATTCCGACTGCTTTGTGCTCACAATGATACCAGTGTATTTAAATACTTTCCTCTCTTTCCACGCTCTTCCGCCCATACAAAAGGCAAAAATCAGGTGAAGACAAAATTTTGAAAAAAACCGAAAAGTGCCATTAAGTAGGGAATAACCACATTTATCAGATCACCGAATTAAGATTAGATTTGATCATTATTATAGCCAGAATGAAGAAATTAGTTGCCAGTGGCTAACCCCACCCCGTCTCGCATTTTCTCGGCTATTGATGCTCATCAAGAATATATACACTTTGTGAGGGTCGGAAACGCTTCCTT